CTTCACTCCCTAATACACCACAGTGAACTCTTGGTAGCACACTGATTGCCCCATCCTTTATTAGGACATTAAGAAGACAACCTGACACTGCAGATGGGCTCTGAAGAGCATGATGAAACTAAGACTAACCTGAGCCATGGAGCTCCCACTAATACCAAGCATAACGTTGCAGAGATTTGAGACTATTTCTCCAAAAAAAAAAAAAGATATCCCAAGAGTATATTTTTAATTCAAATGCAAGCTTTTATTTTTATTTCCAGAAGACCTATTTTAAGAAATGGATCCTGCTTAGCTTCCAGTGACTTCACGTAAAAAGAAACAGAACATAAAGCCACGTTCTTTTCTGCCTTTCTAAGGCACATCTTGTTCCATGGAGGTTACTTTCTACAGAGTAATTAGCATTTACTATTTGTGACCCTTCAATTCTAGGTGTTCACACAAATCGATAAGAATGGGGCTAGGAAGGAACATCTGACGTTAGTCTCAAACTCCACCTATAATGTAGGAGGCACTGGATGATTCAGTTAACACGGGGAAGAGCAAAAATAATTAGCAATGCTGGCTTTCTAAATCATTATCAAGTCATACTTTGTTATGACAAATGAGTTAGCTCACACTGTGCTCAAGACTGATTTAGGCTGTCCATCAGTGGGAATCAAACATGGTTGTTTGGGCATGCAACTTCAAAAGGAGGACTTCCTGGGCCACTGAATGCTGGAAACTGTAGGGCAGGAAGGGCAGGGGATGAATCACTCTGGAGGAGCCCTGCATAACTACTCTTCTACTTAGCATCCACTCTGCTACCGCAAGATAAATACTGGGCTAGATGTGCCTCTGCTTTGACCTGATATGGAACTTCCTATGCTCTCTTAACTCAGTCACACAGCCAAGGAGGTGATACTTTCCCTCTATGGGGCACTGGTCAGACCGTAGTTGGAATACTGCATCCAGTTTTGGGATCCATACTTCAAGAGGGATGCGGATAACTTGGAGAGGGTCCAGAGAAGGGCCACTCGTATGGTTAAGGGCTTGCCGGCCAAGCCCTATGAGGAGACTAGGGCCCCTGGCCCTCTTCAGCCTCCACAAGAGAAGGTGGAGAGGCGACCTTGTGGCTGCCTATAAATTCATCATGGGGGCACAGAAGGGAATTGGTGAGGCTCTACTCACCAAGGCACCCCTGGGGGTCACAAGAAATAATGGCCATAAGCTAGCAGAGAGCAGATTTAAACTGGACATTAGGAGGAACTTCTTCACAGTTCGAGTGGCCAAAGTCTGGAACGGGCTCCCAAGGGAGGTGGTGCTCTCCCCTACCCCGGGGGTCTTCAAGAGGAGGTTAGATGGGCATCTGGCAGGGGGCATCTCCACCCAGGACTCTTTCCTTCCTATGCAGGGGGTCGGACTCAGTGATCTATTGAGGTCCCTTCCAACCCTAGCATCTATGAATCTATGAAACATATAGGTGAACAGCTTTGTAATAGGGGACAGCTTTCTTCACGACCAGAGCTGGAAAGTTTGTCCTTGGATCCTAAATGAAAGCTTTGATTCTGTTTAACTATAGAAGCAAGAGGAGCCCACTTAGACCAAGCTGCTTTGTGTTAACATGGAGATTTAAAAAAAACTTTTCATTGGCTTCATCAGTAACAACGAGCCTGAACCTTGGTACTGAAAAACTGCTAAAAATCTTCCTGGAAAGCCTGCAGACAGGGGAGACTGGGAAGTCCTTATCACCACATCAGCAGCATTTCAAAATAGCTCACGACTTGGGGCAGCAGCATCTGACAGGACATCCAAAGACAGGGACCAGACAGCTCGGGAGGTGAATGTTGGGCCTGGTCTGTGTATCCCTCCCTGGCCAACCCCCTTGCCAACACAGCCCACACTCACTCCGGAGTGGATGCAACTCTGCTAGGGCAGGGCTGTCAAATATATAACCAGTCCTCCAAATCTGGCCTGTGGAGCCCCATTCTCTGGCCTGCTGTGCTGCCCTGGCTCTGGAGCAGACCCACATGTGGCACATGGCACCACCCCAGCCCCTCACACTGGCCCGGCCCAGCCAGAGTGGGCATCACGGACTCCCAGAGACGTGGGGCTGGAGGGACCTAGTCCAGCCGCTGCCCGAGGCAGGCTGGTCCCTACCCAAACACCTATCCACGGGATAGGTGTCACGGCCCGGCTGGGGCAGGCACCACGCGGAGCGAGCGCTAGGCCTGGGGTGGCTCCACCGGCCCGTGCACAGGTCCAGAGGAGACGGCAGCTCAGGGCCAGGCCGCTGGAGAGTAAGCTTTGTCCCCGCGCC